AACAGTGACGCTTGCGTTGAAGAACAAGCAACAATTAAAAAGAAAAAGAGCTTGCAAAATAGGTATGTACATATGTACCTACTATTTCCTACGCAGACACTGATAAAATTCAGCATGGAAACAAATACCTTGGTAAAAAATGGAGAAACATTTTCTTGGATACTACATTTTCCTTTTTTATACATATTTTTATTACCTGTCAAATTAAAATGACTTTATTATTCTGTTTAATTTTACAGAACTGACGAAATGCGGCAAACAATTGTCGAAAGCAATGCTGCTTTTAAAAAAAGACAATTAGAAATGATGGAAGAAGAACATGCATACAATGTAGAAATCGCCAAATTAAAAATTAAAAAACTAAAGCTAGAGATAGGTTTGTTAGAAAATAAAACAAGATTACAATAAATAATATTTATTCGAAATGAGTTTCAATAAACTGCCTTCTCCTAATATTTCCCCTAACAGAAGATGGAAAATATCCTTGTTGAACTGTTTCACTAGGTGCAAATTGAATTGATGGCTCTATATTATCTTCCTCGCCCGGAAATAGGTCTTCTCTCATATCAATTGCAATATTGTGGAGGACAGCACATGCAACAATTGTTTTTTGTGCTGTTTCAATATCCCCAAACATGCCTCGCAAAAGGCAACGAAATCGTTGCTTCAGCAAACCAAAACACCTTTCCACTGTGTTTCGGGTACGGATATGGCTGCGGTTGTACCTCTCTTCTTGTGGTGTTGTGGGATTGAGCAATGGTGTAAATAAATATGGAGTGCAAGGATAGCCACTGTCGCCCAATAATATTCCAGAGAATGCGCCAGCCTCAAACCTCTGTTTTAAGCGACATTCTCTGAATATCCTGGAGTCATGTACACTGCCACGCCATCTTGTTACTATGTCCATGATTTTCAGGTCAGCATCACAAACCACCTGAAAAGTGAAAGCTGATAATAACTTCACATTCCTCTGTTATTTTAATATGACATTGTAATATTTAGTGAAGCAGTTTGGGATCTAACTATTTACAATTTAATGAGACAGATAAAATTACCTGTACATTGATTGAAGAAAAGCCTTTTCGATTAATGTACAACTGACCCCCATCAGCATTGATTTTCTTCACTCTTATATGAGTACAGTCTATTGCTCCAATCACTGTAGGAAAATTAGCAATACTACGAAATTTTCTCATAGTTTGCTGTTGTGCATCGAGACTGCTAGGCATTTTGATGAATCGTCTAGACATCATTGCCAAACTGTGGGTAGCGCACACACGAGATTTTGCAAGATTTGCTGACAACTGGTTGAGATACACCATGTAAATCAGCTGTATCGTCTTGAATCTGTGAACAAATTAAAAATATTAAGATTTTATTTTTATCTCGGAGGTCAAAGTAAAAGTAAAGATGAATAGACTGTGTAAAAAGTCATATGAAAGAAAAGGGAGTCAGTGATAGGTAACGGCAGAAAAGATAAAAATAAACAAAAATACATGTCGCGCGCGCCGACTCCAAGTAAAATGGGAATGAATGGGCAGGAAGATGATGATTAAGATATTATATGGATTTTATCTAATGTTTTGTAAGTAATTACCAAGATGACTACTTACTTCATGCCGAGCCCAGTTGCGTAATGCGCAAACCACTTGCAATTCAGGACTCAATGGGCATCCTCGGGGGTCGTGACATAAATCTTCACGTAAAATATCCACTATTTTTGCTCCAAAACGTTTTGTAAACCTATACTTGTATTTAAAATCTTCTTCACTCGATTCAAATGGATTCCTACGATAACGGCGTCTGTTAGATCGCCGAGACGTCTCCAACATATCCAAATCTTCCAAATCCATCAAGTCAATCATATCAATATCCATTTTAAATATTTTTATAAGAAAGTAATGACACCGCAATTGACACAAAAGATAACCTCAAATATAAATTAGTACCGAAGTTAGTCCATACTTAAACTAGGGGCATCGGCGGACTAACTTTAGTACCATAGATAGTTCAGGTACTAGTGTTAAACCTAGTTTTATAATAACGATTTATTTAGTCATGGTTTAAACCTAGTACTAATCCTAGTACTAAATTTAGTCCGCGTTTTGGAATAAGACGGATAGGGTATTCAGTACGCACGTACATACCTACTAACTTATACAATGTCTTAAAATCGTAGCTCGAAGTTTTTTTTGGAAAAAGAATAGACCACTTTTTGTTTTTTGAGACTGATTGGCACATAAGTACGGACGCACTTAAGTTGAATTAAGGTTCGATATCCAAAAAAGAATAAAAATAACACTTTTTAATTATAAAACGAGTTCGTTTTACATACGATTCTTAGAACTATTTTATTTTTAAATATGTTATTTTAAATGTCAGTGCGAATGAATAAATATTTTATTAAACTAACTGCGAAGTAGTAGTAGACTGGCCCATTAATATTAAAATATATTTTGTGTAGTAAAGTTTAAATTTTTTGTAATAAAAAGGAAAACATTTTATTTAATGGTAGCTTTTCCCGCGACTTTGTTCGCGTGGAATAATGACTTAGTGCTTATTTCTGTTTTAAAACTATCGTATGTCCTTTCTCGAGTTTCAAACTACGTCTGTACTAAATTTGATTTTCTTTCACACAAATCGGTTCTGTAGTTTAGGCGTGAAGAAAAGACAGACAGACAGACAAAGTTACTATCGCATTTATATTATTAGTTTGGATAATCATGTGTCGTTGGATGATAATGCTAGCAAATCTCATATGCGAGAAAGTAACGTCAAAGATATTATCTTGAAATGTTTTAAAAAATGAAAGAGCGCTATTATGAGTAAAATAAAAAAAAACAATGAAACATAAACAAAACAGCTATAGACTATACAAAATAAAATATTATAGAGATCATAAAGACATCTCGACGTTTAGAGCTACTTGACGAACGAGACAGAATTATTTTTTTTAGAATAATAAATAATTATCCTAAGGACGAAAGGACGGTGGCATATCCTTGATTTTTATTTTATTTTATTTTCACCAAACGAGTGACGCCACGTGCTGTGCATGTGTGCAAAATAGAATTGAATTATTAATCAACTTGAAAAGAAAATGTTAACAAAAATTATTCGTCATATACGATTTTTTTTCTATGTGTGGATTTTGTCCTGCTGACTTTTCTCAGGGTTTCAGTATTAATATACTTATTACATCCTTTTAATGCCGACATTATTATATCGTTCTTTTGGAATAAGAACTCACTATACCAGGACCTCGAGTCTGCTATTACAATAGTGTCAGAATAGTAGATCTTTGGTTGCAAAATTGTTGATTTTGACAAGTTTTGGTAATCTATGAACACGATAGCGTCATTATGACCTCCCAATGCCACTTCATTGAAATAATTCTTTAGAACGGTAATCTCGTACATAACTGAAAATTTGACATAATACGGTAAATTAATAAAAAAATTTCAGTTCCTTTATTACGTTTAGAATATTAATGTGCAGTTATTGTTTATAATTCGTTACAAGACATCTCGTACTATAATTATATTACGACATCACCGAACGCCAATGATCAGTCATTTTGAATTAACAGATTACGAACTTTTAGCAAAATGACCATGGAATCGTGTAGGAATGACAATACTTTGAAAATTGTAGACGCGGGCCCCTGTATACTATCACCGTCATCGTGTATAAAGTGCCCATAAATAAGTACCCAACGCTGACAAAAGGTCTCTGCTTACACGGAGAAGGTTTGAGCGTTAATCACCACGATTGCACAAGGCGGATTGGGAATTTCAAACTTATAATTAGAAATCATAAGTCTAGGTTTCCTCACGATCTTTCCCTTTACCGTATGTCATTGGTGTCTAAATAATCACACACATAACTCGGAAATAGTTACCAATGTACTAGCTAGGTTTCAAAGCCGCACCTCATGCATGATAGGCGGCGAACCTCCTTGCCGGATCACCGCCGTGGGATCTAGAAGCAAAGGCGCTCGCGCGCGTCTACAGTTTGCGCGCAGACGCGCGTCGCCGGGGCGAAGATCCTCTGCCGCGCCAAATTAGTGCGTGGCGGAATGAGCTCCGGCGAGATCTCATGGCAGAGTGGAAACAACGACTGTCGCAACCGAGGGCCGGGCACGCTACCATAGCAGCGGTAAGACCCCTCTTTGAGGAGTGGCTTGAGAGACGCCACGGCGTCCTCACCTTCCGTCTGACGCAGGTGCTTACCGGGCACGGCAGCTTCGGTAGGTTCCTGTCCAATGACGACACGCGGGAGGAAACGCCCGAGTGTCGTCATTGTGAGGACCACCTAGAGGATACGGTGGAGCATACGGTAGCGGTATGCCCTGCCTGGGCTGAGCACCGCCGTATCCTCAGGGAAGTGATCGGCGGCGGCGACCTCTCGCGCCCGGCCTTAGTCGAGGCCATGGTGCGGAGTGAGAGGAACTGGGTCGCCGTCTCCTCCTTTTGTGAAGCAGTCATGCTCGCAAAGAGAGAGGCGGCCCGCGTGAGGGAGCAATCCTCCTCCTCACGCCCCAGCAGCCGCAACTGGCGACACTACGGGCGTCGGGGATCGAGGGACGATCTCCGGCCACCGTAAGTACGGGCCTGCGGTCGGCGAGTAAGGGCAGCTCGCCGCCCGACCAGAACCAGGCCCGAGCGTACGGCGCGTAGCGTTCCGCGCGCGCCTCAAAGAGCCAATAGACCACCACAGACGGGGCCCTAAAGGGCTGATGTTCAGCCGGGGTTGCGGGGTAAGCGCAATGAGGTACCGCGACCTCGGCACAGAGCAGGAGAAGGAACAGGGGGGTTTTTAGTCAGTAAGAGTCTGACACTCCCTCCTGCCCGGCCCTGGGCGGGAGAAGTCATTTGATGATTTTCCCCTCACAAAAAAAAAAAAAACCTCATGCATGATGACTTAACCTCGATACGATACAGCATACCACTCACTATACCAGTGGCATGGATTTCACACCATAATTGTCTCAATTTCAGGCGACCCGACGGCTTTCGGCAATCTCCAACCTCCAGAGAACATCATAGACACCGTCTGTGAGATGGCCAGGCTAAATGAATCTCGAAACTATGGGCCTACTATTGGCCACTGGGAGGCCAGACAGGCGGTAGCAGAGTACAGCGCTCACCAAGGTCCTGTGACAGCAGACGACGTGATCCTCTGCAGTGGTTGTTCGCACGCCATTGATATAACCCTCAGTGTCATCGCTGATGCTGGGCAGAATGTCCTCATTCCACGACCTGGCTACTTGATACACAAAACTCTTGGCGAAGGATTAGGAATTGTTATTAAGTACTACGATTTATTGGTGAGTCCTAGTTCCTCTTTAGCATAGTTTTAATTCAATCATACTTTTCCATTCGTTAAATATTTTAAATCATTAATATTAAATGTTTTTTTTTAGCCCAATGAGGACTGGCAAGTGGATTTAGTAAGTCTCGAGAGCCAAATAGATGAAAATACAGCTGCTATCATCGTAAACAATCCATCCAACCCGTGCGGTTCAGTGTATACCAAGAAACATTTAAAAGACATTATCGAGGTGGCATTGAGAAATCGCGTGCCGATAATTGCGGACGAAATTTACGAACACTTCGTTTTCTCCAAACATGAATTCAATTCATTATCGTCTCTTTCTAAGGATGTCCCAGTTATAACATGCAGTGGAGTCACGAAAAGATTTCTTGTTCCTGGCTGGAGACTCGGTTGGATAATCATTCACGACCGCAACAATATTCTGGGCAAAGAAGTTCGCAAGGGTTTGTTTAGTATGTCAACGCGGATTTTGGGTCCAAGTACGTTGTTGCAGAGAGCTCTTCCGAGAATTCTGAAGGAAACTCCTCAGAGTTTCTTTGATGACACAATGAGGTTTATTGAGGTGAGTTAAATTAGCTAGTAACAGTAACTTAGACTTAATTCACTAGTTTTAATTTGTTTGGCCACCAGATTTTTACGACTTTTTACGACTGGGCCCTTAGGGCTTTCTGCTGTGTGGGGTGTTTCGTTTTGTAAAAGTATTGTTTTATTATACCACAAAATACAAATTATGTATGAATGGTCTATTCTCATTTGTTTTTAATTATCTAACTGATGGACTAATAATGTTCATTCCCTATTATTATCCATATTATAATCGTTTCTGTATAATATACTGAACCATTCCAAACGATGGTGCCTCGAAATTCTAATAAAAGCATATTGTTTTTATTTTCAGAGTCAAGCACACTTGGCTTACCAGGAGCTGCAGAAGACCCCGGCTTTACGTCCGATCATGCCTCAAGGGTCCATGTACATGATGATTCAAATCAAAATGTCTTTATTCCCTAAATTCGAGAATGAACTTCAATTCATATCTCAACTGTGCAACGAACAGTCCATTCTATGTATACCTGGAAAGGTAAATTGTTTGATGTCATTAGCTTGCACCAAGTAAACAATGAGTTTACGTTGTTTTTATGTCAGTAAACAAGCAGACGAGACACCTGATGGTAAGCAATCGGCGCTGCCCAAAACCAGACTAGTTGCAAGTGTGTTACCGGTCTTTGAGGATGGAGGGAATACGGTTGTTTCCAACTAGTCCAATTCAATACTTTTATCCAAATGTCAAAAACGATACTTTTCTATGAAAATTGTATGAAACATTGAATTATGACGTCATAGCATTCTTGCGTCAAATAGCTTACTTATTTTTAAAAAATTAGCTAAAAAATATCTAAAACTTAGTGTATCGATCGATCGATGAATAAAAATATAGTTATTTTTCAATATTTTATCGTATTAAAACGTCGAATTAATTTATTTTTGACCTAGGAAACTACCCAATTGGGTCTTCAGTAACTTCACTTACACGGCGAACATTTGTTTTACTCCGGTTTTCTAAGTAAGTTTTCTGGTAAGACCGTGATAACATTTCGCTCCAGCCGGCCCATGCCCATTCTCGCTGCATCTATCCCACACTTATTTCTGTTTAACACTTCTGTCATAGCAGTAAACTCTGCTGAAAGGGCAACTGTTTATTAGAAATGCTAAACGGTGTGGTCGCGGCCTTTATTTCATATCTAAATGTTAAGTCGTCTTTCGTACGTGTCATGTACACGCTAGTTATTGGAAAACCAAACTCTACAGGATTTTATATTATTTGTTTTCAATCATGGATATGTGTCAACTACAAGAACAAATTTTTAGCGACTGTTAGGGTCTTTATTATAGAATGTTCCTGAGAAGTTGTAAGCTAAGAAGCAGCTACAACCTACTTCACAAAAATTCACACCACCACTAATAATTTAATGAGGTATTTGTCATATTTTTTATTTCATTCCAGTGTTTCAATTACCCCAACTACATGCGAATCGTGTTGACTGTACCTGAAGACATTTTAAGAGAAGCATGCCATCGAATCACGAAATTCTGCGAACAACATATGATGAAGGATAAATTAAAGATGTCAGATAATGACGTTGTTTCCATCGTAAACGGAAAATCGTCACAGGTGTCTTCAAAACAGCAAATGTTGAAGAATATATCTTAATTTTGATTCAAATTTATAATGGGGCCTGCCCTTAAAAATACGGAATTTTTTTGTAACTCATCAATTTCTATACTTACTACAATATTGTTAAAAAAATTCTTGGTTAGTTGAGTCAAGTTGTCAGTGGATTTTTGTCCCAATCCTTCATTGATTTTGCAATTTTGCGGAAAAAAGTAATTTTGAGCGTAGCAATTAGGCGTAAAGTATGAAAATACCTAAATAATCACAGGCAGAGCAACCTGTTTGTGTTATTTTTAAAGTCACAAGTACAAATTGAGTAGGTAAGGAATCTTATGTGTGATAGGTACTTGGGCGCCGTCTTTTGCAGACACTCGGAACTATCTGGTGAAAAGTATTAAGCATTCAATATTCTACGCCTCTAGCTAGATATATTAGAGAATTTGATTTTTGTGAACTGTTTACTACTTTGTTTACAGAAAATAGCTTCTTGCTATATAGCTACGCTTATGTGTATTCGAAAAGCCTAGCTTATATTGTTGTGGATTAATTAATATAACATTATTTAACAAGGCTATACTATAGTATTATTACAAGAATTAACAAAACTATACCTCATAGATATTGTAAACGTAGTTCCAAACCCGATCTACAACCCGTCACCTGCAAGCTTTCCAATATATTTAAACGAGCAATTTTTGTACCTATGCATGTGTAGAGATTTTCAGAAGATTTCGGAAACAGCTCCAATATTTGAATACTTTGGTATGTATTCAAATAAAAAATACTATTGCTTGGTATTTTTTTATTCCCACTCAGTACCTAATGCAGATCAAAAATAAATCACACGACACAAGAAACGAGTGCATCAGTCCATTACCCACTTATAAGAGTCAGTTACCTACATGAGACTCATGTCATAGCACAATGTAGATAGTCACTATGTACCAGATAAAATTTGAACTATGTGCCACGTACGTTTATGGGGTGGCTGTACGGGAAAACTTCTATAACTGTGGAAATGGCCTATTCGCCTTCTACCCTACACGCTTTTATTAAAATGAGACTTGTAAATTCTTGATTTTCTGATGAGCGCTGACAATGTTTTGGCGCCTAGTAAAATAATGAGCGACGCCAGCTTAACGTTTGCTTGCTATTCTAATATAACTTGCGTGTAATTTTTCTACCCAAAGTGTCGCACAAAAAATTTTATGCCCAGAAAATTTTAATTATTTTCACTGAATGATGTATCTTCTGTTTTAGTTCATGTTTTTAATCCAGTTTTTAGTTTAAGGTACACTTGTATTTATAAGGTAGCTAGTTAATTTGATCACGCGTCTTTGCATGCATTTTTAAGTTTGTATTGATTAATTCTTATGCTAAGGCCTTTAAAAGTAATTAAATATTATGTAAGTATTTTAAAAACATTAATTAAATGAGTATAAAATAATATTATTTAGTGTTATTTGTTTTGTTAACCCTAAAAATATTACACCCAGCCTTTAAAACTAAAGCAGTGGTCCTACTGTGCTACCCTGAGGAACACTTCGAGAAAAAAAATCAATTAGAAAGTGAATTATTTACCAGGGCTTATTCTGTATACATTGGATCTTAAAGTCTAGTCTAGACTAGTCTTAGTCTTCTAGTCTTTAGACAATATTTACCAAGTAATTTTTTTGGAGTTCCTCAAGGTAGCATTATCGGACCAATACTTTTATCAGATAGATGATTCAGCCGTCCAGATCAAAATTAGAAAAACCTTCTATGTTATTGAATAATTCCTTAACTCTTTAAACCCCGTAAGCAAAAGTGCAAAAGGGAAACGCATTATCAATATAAATATAGATACCATTTAAAAGACATGAGTCATGATTACGTATTTATCAGGATATGATAATTCATACACGGACTTTGGTGTCAATAACTATTTGTAGCACCTACCCGTAGAATCTGTTTACCGCATAGGCGCATAATAAACTTCTTGTTATTGTTTACGTTTCTGTTTACATTCTAAACTATGAAACGCACTAAGTATTGTTGTTAACAACATTGATGACGTCAGGATTTCTAACTCCTGTGCTGGCCCACGTAAATATTTGTTTACGTAGAACTTACTTATTATTATTTTAAATCACAACGTAGCCTAGAATACACATGAAGAAGACTTTAAAATGAACATAACATTATTATAAATTAATAAATATGGGTATTTATAGATATTTGGCAATATATTGATATAGTTACGTCATCATCAATAAAAAAAACTTTTGCATGCCGATCTCTTAGATGACTGGACCAACTTTAATATTATTTTCGATAACATTGATTTAGGTCGATGGAGCCTTGCCCTGAATTTAGGCAGCTATCTACAAGACAACCCCATTAATATCCTATGCCGAATGTACTCTGGTCGCACTAAAATTCGTGCTTATGATGTAACAAACAACATTTTTTACACGACGAAGCCTCATAGTATTAATAAGAATTCAAATTTATAGAATGCTGAAACAGAGTTTTAAAAAACAAAATAATTAATAAAAGTAAATGTTTTAAATAGTCTTTAATAATGGACTAATAAACTGGTGTTGCTAAATAAAATTAGCTAAACATTTATTAGAAGCATTTTTGTGATGCGGATTAACCTTAAAAATACCTAATGTGCATCTTATGCTTTTATTATTCTTAAACAATGCACCAAGAAGGTCAAACATACAAAATTGTATTCCCGAAATTTCCCGAATGAAACGCTGCAATAAATTGTTTCAGGTGCTCGTTAAAAAGTATCAATATATTGTGCAGATAAAAATAACTTGTATTTATATCAATTACACTAATTATGACTGCATACCTCCTGCAATATTTTTTAACAAACGCCAAAGTTGTAGAACCTGTTTATGATACGATCCTATTTTTAGGGCTAAGGTAAATACGACAGATATTTTATAATGGCGAATTTACATCTTGAATTTTTGCTTCGTAAAATTGCATACTTTTAGTATTTATTTTAAGTAAAGATGTGTGCTGTGTGCGTTGGCATATCTCATCTCGCACATAGCTACTGCACTGTTTATGTAATGTAGGAATATTTTTAAAGAATAAACTTTAGGTTAGCTGTTTATAGGTATAAATACATGGCCATTTCAAAATCTAAGAATCGAAAAGGATGTGTCGTAACATTTCTAATCATTCCTAAAGTCATTTGTTTTATTTTTTGTATCCGATACGAGTCCCGTTCAGTGTCCCATCGTCATCAGGTAGGTAAAAGGCTTCTGTTCCCACCATCTCACATTCCTCTCGGTCAAACGCTTTTTTTAATCTTAAATAATTAAACAATCAAGTGTGTCCAAAACTAAAAATACTCGCAGATAGTTAGGTACCTATTTAATTTACAAAATATTTAAATCATACAACCTGTGTATTAATGGCTTAAAAGTCAACATAAAAAAGAAACAATTAGTAAATAAGTACTGTGAATAAATTACGAGTAATCGGCACTTTTTTGCAAATTAAAAAACTTAATAAAAAAAGTTTTGCTTAAAATGAGAAACAGTCTTGTTTTAACAATAATTCGGAGAGCACGTACGTACCTAAAAACATACATAAGTTGGTAAAGACTTCACAGCTATAATGTATTTTTTATGTGAGACAGACAAGTAATGAATAATCATATAACTCCGATATCGTACGCTGTAAGCGGCTAGCTAGTTATGTTGAAATAACGAAACTTTCCATGGCGTTCTGGAACAGTCTGGGGGAACCACTCAGACAGAACTTGTAAGGTAGGTAAGGAATGGGACAAAAAACTGTTTAACTCAAAATCTTACATTTATTCGCACTAACGCGTACAATTTTTTGCATTTATCTGTCTTATATAAAGTACAAATTACCTAATATAAATTCTTATTATCTCTTTCTTCTTTATCTTATTTAAATTTTTATTCTCTGAGATTAAGTTACAATTATAACAAATTAGGTTTAGGATTCGATTTTTTTGCTAAAATATATAATACTTGGTTAAGTAAGTAATTAAATTGGTTAATTCTTCAGCTATCTACAATTCGTGGTCAAGTAGACACGATTTTTGAAAACTCATTATTTGATTATGTTTGTATCTATAAATCGTGCTAACTTATATCAATAATAATTTAATGAATATTGGACAGGAAGAGCTACCTTAGTAAGCATAGAAAATATTGGCAGTCTCGTTAAAACTTGGGAACTACTGCACCGATTTGGCAGTTTCATTTCAAAACGATTCTGGGATTACGAGGAATGTTTAATAGGTGAGAAAACCTCAATATATTCCAGAAATACCTTTCACTTAATTTATTTTGATCACATAATGTTTTTAATGTGTTGACAACGTTGTTGTAAAAAGTATTTAGTACTCAGGATCACATTAATCCGAATTATACCCAATTATTGAAGAGATTAAAAAAAAGAAATTCAAAGAATATTTGAAAATCTCTACTTTTTAGGTGGATAGGTACTTGTGGTCAATAACACAACTTAAAGTGCAACATCAACAATAATACTTATTTGGAAACAATGGACCAATCGACTGTCGCATTCTTTTGGGTGTGGACGGTGCACACCAATAAAATTAAGAGGGACATTAGAGCGGTTTACCCTAGCCCGGGCTTTTTTATGTGCTATAGATATCGGTAGGGGCCAGTGTGTGGCTTGTGGAATATATAAACAACCTGATTCTATTGCCGTCATCGCATCTACATTTTCAAACCAGTTCCACGACTCGAGAGCCTGAGCTTGTCAAACGCCACTGTTCCGATACAAAACTGAGTTGTATCGAAATGCGAGCAATATTCTCAATTCAAGTTTAAGTGACGCCGCAGCTTTTATATTCCGCAAGTTTTGTGCCGATGTCGCGACGGTCTCGAGGAAGCAACACATGGGAGGTGCGTGCATCGACGTTGGCTCGCAATACCCATAACCTGATAAGGGACATCGTCGAGAACCTTCAGGTAGAGCCAAACCCTGAGAAGCAGCTCATAGCTCTTTCAGTCGGTAAGTGTTTACTTTCAAATATTTAAATTTCTACGTACGAACAGGCTCTCTATGTGATTTTGTTAATAAAAAGCAAATTTTAAAATTCTGAATTAAAAGTGCAACAGTTATAAAGTTAAATAAAATATTACCTACCTACTGTTTCATATCGAAACAAAATATAAATAAATTGAACAAGACAATTATCTTTATTCGTAACTATGTAACTGGCCGAAAATATCATTAATGACCTATTGTTTCAAGGTAGTTCATCCTGCTTGTTTATAGAGACTCGAAGATGCAATTTGGAAAACTTATACTTACTTATTATAGTACAAATGCATTTTCTAATGCGTCTGACTGATGTAACGGCGACTTGTATTGAAAAATGATCATACATTTATAATTATACATACTGTATTTATATTTAGCGTCTAATGCGACGTAAAAGTCGTGAAAAATAAGTGAGAAGAAATAGGTTAGCAGACTGTTTATTTGTGTATCAAGGTCAACAGGATTTGGATTTCACAATATTTTTAACGAGCTATACATTTGTTTTGTACGTTAGGTGATCCGACAACTTTTGGAAATCTTAACCCTCCCGAGCAAGTACTGCAAGCTGTTCGGGAGAGTAATGAATGGCTAAGCAGTCGCAGTTATGGCCCTGCAAAGGGACACATCGAAGCCAGGGTGGCCGTAGCGCAGTACAGTGCCCACCAGGGAGACATTTCACCCGAAGACGTCATCCTGTGCAGTGGGTGCTCACATGCAATAGAACTTGCTATCACAGTGATCGCAGACTCAGGACAAAATGTATTGGTTCCCCGTCCTGGCTTCATGATATACAAGACTGTCGCCGAAGGATTAGGCATTAATATCAAATATTATGACCTATTGGTATGTTAATTTTACTGAAAAAATATTTAATAATTCCAGTTCCCTTATAGAATGGAAGGCACTACTGAACTTTTTCTATGGTATAGTATGGTTGTAACAGAAAGAGTCAGGTATAATTTTGAAGTAATCACATGAAACATATGAGGAAACGTGCGAAACCCAGAGGCACAGCAGCAGGATAGACAAGTATAAATATCAGCCGATGTTAAACAAGTTTCTAGTAGCATAACAAGTTTCTTGTGGAATGGATTTGCATACTGCTCATTTACGCTTTATTTTATTTATAACTGCGTAAATCCTTGATTAAAGGTTATTTAATAAAATAATAGAATGTCATAATGATGTTTTGTTGCAGCCAGATCAACAATGGAAGATAGATCTCGAGGATCTAGAGAACCAGATTGATGATGACACTGCCGCTATAGTCGTAATAAATCCGTCGAACCCATGCGGATCAGTATATGATAAGGGACATTTATACGAGATACTTGATATAGCATCGAGGAACCATGTTCCCATCATTGCTGATGAAATATATGAACATTTTGTGTTCTCAAACCATGAATTCACTGCACTATCAGCCCTATCGGTAGATGTACCGATACTAACATGTGGTGGCCTCACCAAAAGGTTTTTAGTACCTGGCTGGCGTATGGGATGGGTCATTATCCATGACAGGCATAATATATTTGGAAAAGAAGTTCGAAAAGGTTTGTCAAATCTGGCCTCTAGAATTTTAGGGCCAAACACCTTAATACAGAGGGCGTTACCAGCAATCCTGACTTGCACGCCACAGAGCTTTTTCGATGAAGTTGTGTTGTTTATAGAGGTGAGTGAAACTTATAATATTTTTTCTTTATTAAATCAAACATTAATTGTACAATTCAAAGAAGTGAGATGTAGGTAAATCATGTATGTCGCAAATAAAAATCGAGAAAGAGGTTTATTAATTAAGTTGAAATTAGCTAAGATCGTTGAGGGTATCTCCTTAGGCAATTCATATCTTAGAGTATCGTCAATAAACTCTCATTTTTAATCCTTAACCAAGTCCCTGCCAAATATGTATAAATAATCAAGTAATGGCCTGAATGAGCCTACACTAGATTGTGTGGCGAAATTTCTTAATTAAGCTCTTAGTCGAAGGTTGAACAGATTTTCATGTTTTTAAATTTTTCATCAGAAATTTTTGTCTCTGTCAAAATTGTAATGCCTTTTTAATTTATGAAACATTACAAACATTAGGCTAGTCCATTTTTGAATGGTTGTTTTATTTTCGGTAACGTCATGGAGCTCATAGAATTTTTTTTTTTTATTTAATAGGTCGGCAAACTAGCAGACTGATTACCTGATGGTAAGCAATCAGCGCCGCCCATGGACACTCGCAACGGAGGAGTTACTAGTGCGTTGCCGACCTTTTAGGGATTAGGGATTTGGAGATTTAGGGATTTAGGAGGGATTGGGGGAGGGGAAGAATTGGGATTGGGAGGATTCATATTATTCGAGGTGACACATATCATTAACTTACTTTTTTAATATTTTCAGAACCAAGCAAAATTGGCATTTGATGAACTACGGTGCGCTCCAGGTTTGCGTCCCATAATGCCACAGGGCGCTATGTACATGATGATTGAGATAAAATTATCATTATTTCCAAAATTCAAAAATGAACTTCAATTTGTTGAACGGCTGGTCGCTGAACAGTCGGTGTTTTGCTTACCCGGACAGGTCAGTACTGGGATTATTTTTTAAAGATATTTATTGGATCATAAACTATTTATTGCCTTTGTAATTGTCGTTTTGTATGACAATTAACGGCAAAGATAACGATTTTAAAGTTACACATGGTGTGGTGAGGTGGTGTCAGTTAGTCTTAGATAAATTCAAAATACTTATATTAAAATTATTCTAAATCAGCACAAGCGAGCGTTGGTAACATTATTTTAAATTTTTGTTAGCAATGGCTATTATCTGGGTGTACCACAAGGATCTATATTAGGCCCACAACTTTTAATTCTTACTATTGTTAAATATTTCGCATATTAATCGCCTTAGAGTGGTTGTTAAAATATGACTTGTCTTTACTTAATGGCCTATGGGTTCAATTCATGCGGTTAATCGTTTTATGGAGTTCAGATTAGTTCCTACCTATGTGTAGCAATAAAGGCACAACCAGTTTATAAAAAATGGTATTATAATCATATTATTTTAGAAATTATAAATTGTTTTTTTTCTGTTTCCAGTGTTTTGCCTACCCCAATTATATGAGGATAGTTTTGACTGTGCCCGAAGATATACTGAGAGAGGCTTGCAAAAGAATGATAATCTTCTGCAACGACCATATCGTATCTAGAGAGACCATCAAGGAGATTGAGAGTGATATAGTGACTGTACCCAGTGACAACGAAGTCATTTGTGACAACGGCACTGCGCATGTTGCTTAGAATAATGTGTTTTGCTTATAATAGTTAATAATTGCCATTTATTATATAAAATACACGTGTGCCTACCAAGATGTTTTTACAAAACCGTACTTCGTAAATATATTACACCGGTAGTTTGAGGTGGACTCAATTTTCTATGGATTTTTATCTAAAGAAATAGTAACTAGACTTCATGATTTTAAATATTATTGTTGAATAAATGTTGCCATAATGAAAACTACGAATGAGACACACTGCCCTAATTTTTAGTGAAATCATTGTAGATTTTTCATGTGTACTTAACTACATCGGCGACGTGTTTATTGTTGTCTCTTTCCAACGATATGATAAAGTGTTTATGGTGATTGCGTTTTGTGATGTCACTCAATGAATATGCATAACGCACTCACCCAGTGCATGGGAATCACATCATGTACTCGCCAAATGGTCACCCACGGCATTTTCCGCCAACATAACTTACATACGTAAAATAATTAACAATTTAATGAATTCTAATTCTAGATTACGTCGAAACTGGTGTAATATAACTATTATGTGCATAATTTTACAAGTTGTAACTAAGTAGAGATGAATTTGTGGTTACCCTTTTGTTTATGTAAATAAAAATATTACAAAATATTTTGTTTTTATTTTCGAACTACTTTTAATTATCTATACTTACTATGACTTATTGGAGATAACCTAAATCAGCTTTGTGCTTGTATGACTACATGTATGAAGTAGGTATGCAAAGATCGTTAGGATAGCAAGCATTGTAAGTGGCACTCTCTTGCATACCTGCCCCCAATTATCAAAAGTGAGTTTATGTAGATATGTACTTATATGATATGAGGTTAGTTAAATACCTAGTAGGTATTTCTACGAGCGTGAAATGTTTAAATGGGCATAATGAATTCTTTTAATTGTATTTTACGCACATTTATTTTAAATATTTTATTTATTTTTTGTTGCACAGACGTCATTACTTTATGAGTAGATACCCACCTAAGTATTTAATAAAGGTATCATGAATCATTTAATATTATAAGACTTATTAATTGTACATTTCAGCCTTGATAAAATCTGCAGACAATTAGAATAACAAATATTTCAATGGAATTGTTCTATTAATATCAATTCGAACCACACAGTCGAAGACAAAAGAATAAAAATGTAGGTATTTATAATAAAAGCGAAAATATGTGTGTTGTAATGAAATATATTTCTTTTAATAATACTACGAAAGTATGTTTATAAATCTAAGAAAAGAAAATTTGCGGATCGTCCCTTTTTACGGTAACTTCATCATTGGAATCAGTATAGGACTACTTATGCTGATATTTTATGAGAGGGAGAGGGAGTGATAAAAAATTGCTTCCCTTTCGCAGGGTGAGACAAGAAGGAGTGCTAGGACTCTTACTGACTAAAATCCCCGTTCCTTCTCCTGCTCTAGGCCGAGGTCGCGGTACCTTATTGCGTATTCCCCGCAACTCTGAAGGACTATGCCTATTAATATGTATTTTTCTGTTCATAATATATATATGTATGTACCTGTATATATGCATTGGCATATCCGCCAAAAAAGACAATTGTTAAACCCACACTTACTAATATATGTATGACTATTGTTGCTCTAATTGCCTTTCAAGCATATAATGAAGTCAGCCATCCGAAACATATTGACGTCATAAGGTATCATTTCGCATAAATAACAAAATGGTATTAATATAATAATTAAAATGGAGTTAAATAAACTTGAGATTTGTTTTATTATTGAAGGCAGAAACTGTAGTGTCTAGATAAAACACCTGATGGTAAGCAATCGGCGCCGACCCCACAAAACTAGATAGCAAGAGCAAGTGCGTTGCCGGCCTTCTAAAAGCTAGGCATAGGGATAATAGGATTGTGTCTATGGTAAGGGCATAATATAACGCAAGCGTATTGTTTCACACCAGTTTTCTGTGCCGTTGTGGCTTCATTTCGTTGGAGCCACCGTCGTTCTCCTTCCCACACTTTAATAAACAAAGCTAACGCATGTAAAAGCAGCAGCGAATCATTAAAGAAATCCACTACCTTAATCATGTAATGACGACAAACACCTTTGACAGGGAGTGAAGGAAAACACTGTGAGGAAACTTTTTTTGTCGGGGGAAAATCATCTAATGACTTCTCCCGCCCAGGGTTAGGCGAGAGAAAGTGTCAAACTCTTACTGACTAAAAACCACCCCGCTGCCTTCTCCTGCTCTGGGCCGAGGCCCCCGGGTGAACATCAGCCCTATAGGGTCCCCTCTGTGGTGGTCCATTGGCTCTTTGAGGCGCGCGCTGAACACTACGCGCCGTACGGTCGGGCCTGGTTCTGATCGGGCGGCGAGCTACCCTTACTCGCCGTCCGCAGACCCGCGCTTACGGGTGGAGATAACCTGACTCGGCCGGCCGGAGGAAACCTGGACTCATATTTTCTAAATTACTTTTGTAATACTGTACTGTCAAAAGTATGAAACTGCCGCAACACTACACGCCACACGTTTGGGCTATAAAGACTCGATTCTACAGCTACCATAAAATTTAAAAAAAAAACGTTTCATCTTGTCATTTGTCAAACTCAAAAGTCAATGAATCGAAAGGAAGTGAGGCTAAAAGTGAATAATTGATTGAAGTTGCGACAATTATTATAAGATATAAGTGAAAATAATATCGTTTTTAAATCGTTTAACTGTCAATATTCGTTTCCTCAGCACATAATTAGTGAACAAAAACAAAACAAAATGTCTCAAATTAAATCAAACAAAAAGTTCAAATGGGCTTTGGACTTCAACCAAAAGTAAGTAAATATTCTCAGGTGCGTAGTTAAATTATGTATACACATAATTTATTGGTTATACCTAACGTGTATATTTTTATTTTCTCAGAAATCGTACACAAGCAACCGAGTTGCCGTCGCCGCCAGGTTATAGTCAGTCTGCCAATGCAAGCTATACAGAGGCATCAAGAGACACCGATTCTAATTTACTTTTGATCAAAAAATTGTGGGATGTGGCTCTAGGACCCCTGAAGCAAGTGCCAATGAATTTGTTCATTATGTACATGGCTGGAAACTCCATATCCATCTTTCCTATAATGATGGTAGGCATGCTTATTGTTCGGCCAGTTAAGGCTTTATTTGCCACCCAGAGCACATTCAAGATGGTTGAAGGCACTCAAGCTACTGGACAAAAGTTTGTGTACTTTATTGGAAACATTGTGAACATATTACTGGCTCTGTACAAATGCCAAAGTATGGGATTATTGCCTACACATTCAAGTGATTGGTTAGCATTTGAGGAACCTCAAACTAGAGTTGAACACATTGGAGGAGGCTTATCACTTATATGAGCAGAAAAACCAAATAAAACAATTGTATATTTATTGCTAACTTTATTTCAGTTTATCATTTTATAGGACTACTTAAAATATTTACAAATAAACTTATTGAATGACATGTTCTTGTTTTAATAGAATTATCCTATGCCGAAGTTGCAACCATCATTTATCTTTCTTGTCGCTGGCTTCTGCTAGTTTGTCTTTCAAATAAGCTTGTGCTCTTTCAAACAACACCTTCGGGTCTTCCACTTTATCTATCTGTAGCAAATAAAAAACTATGTTTTTATTTAACATACAAATAAACTTATGCCATAGATGTATACACTAGTAATAAAGAGAATTAAAAAGTGCACATATTCCTGGTTCAAGCTATAAATATTATTTCTAACCAACTATTTTTCAATGAATCTATAATGAAACAAAAGTACCTATGTACATAACACTAATCTAGATGGCCTTTCAGTCTTACAAAACCAATAGATATATCAGAAACTAGAACATGTTTACCAGCATATTCTTTTAACTATTAATTTTTTGCTTACTTTCTAATTATACATCAAACAAAAATTTGTCTTCATTACAAAACCACGCAACATTGTACCTTTCAGTTAATAAATAATTATACTTTAAAATAAAGATACAAAATAAATTAAAAAGAAAGAAAAAAATGCTAACCAGGTTTTTGTAGCTTTACCACTTTCCTCTCCCGGTCTCTGACATATTCCACTCAGGGTACCCTGCATGAAGTAGAAATACTATAGGTACAAGTTTTATTCTAAGCAGATATTCATTAAGAAAATTGGTTAAATGACTCGCAAGTGACCAGTGCCAGCCGAGGGGTATATACAAAATTTTACTACAAATAAAATAAAAAGAAATGTAACAACAAAAGAGGCCATACATAATTTATTGTTATGAATAGAACAGGTACATTGAACCAGGAATAATGTTCATAGTAGGTAAACAAGTGTGTCAAAGAGTTTTAGAGTTGTAAGGATTGTTAGTATGGGAAGAAAACAAAAATTGTTATTGTTAAGACCAATCAATCAAGTAGGCCTCCTTTGCAAAGTAATATTAATTATAACTTTTTTAAAAATATATGTTTACCTTATAGTTTTGAGCTACATAAACTCCTGTGTAAAGCCCCGCACCAAATATCACCTAAAAATATTAAGACAATTGAGCAAAACTTTACATCTATTCATGTTCATGAATATTAACTTGACAGGTCATTTCAATATGATTGTGAGGGCTTACACTAGTTTTGATAAGGCTAAAAACACAGCCCATGGTAATATGTAGTTAAACTTGTCAATTCCTGTTTATGAAGGATAAAAACATTTGGGGTGCTTCATTACTTTCATTTAGTAAACATTTTTTTCTTGATGTTTTTCATTAATGTTTTGATAAAATACAGTTAGCAATATCCATTTTTTACAAAACTTATTACTGTCAATAAGACATGAATTAGAATACTGAATACTGTCAAGTTTAAATGTTAGTGACAAGAAAGCCATAGTCATTGCCAAATACACCAAAAAGGCTAAGTATTTATTAAATTATTGAACTTCTTCGAGGATGTTAAGATAATGGTTGGTTGTTTTAAAAATCAAAGTTTTTAGTTTTATTAATAAAAATAGGTATTGCAATTTCCAGTTATCAAACCAAAAACGCAAAATTAAAAAGGAGGCCAATCCAGTTTGTCGTTTGCTTGAAAGTTAAGAGGTCATGGACATTCTGACCCATTCACTTTTAATTATACCCACCTGCTCCGAATAAGTTTCATATAAACTTATGTGGAATAAAATAACATAATTTATTAAGTGCACAGGTTCTAAGGGCTTCACAATATGTGAATAGCTATTATTCACATATTGTGAAGCCCTTAGAACCTAAGACTTATTTCAGAGTAGGTAGTCTAAAATAGTAGGTAGGTAGGTATGTATACAGGTTGACAAATGCAAATAAAGCAGGTTTGTTGCAATATCACAAGAATAACTGAACTGTGTATTAATGTGTAATATAATTAATCCAATTTGTAAACTAATCAACAAGAGGAGCTTATGTTTCTATTATGGGCCACAGCTGTGTTTCATGATTATAATTCTATTCACTAAACTACTTCATTTGTCTTTGTTTATGAAGAGTTTGTCTTGAGCAAAAAGTAAGGATTTTTCTTTGGATGGTTGCCTTCTTCCTCACTATCTATTAAAAAAAGATTCTTGTTAACTGTAAGTCAATATTATTATTTTGTAAAAATCCTTCTCAAACTAATAACAATAATGTTGATTTAAGTATTGTTAATAACAGAATACCTGTTGCTTTTTAAACAAGTGATCGTGCTAATAAAGTTTATGTTTTATAATTGAAATTGAGTTTGGTACATGAAATATGACCAGGACTAAATTTAAAACTAAACTAATCAGAATTTTCAGAAGGGAATGGTATACCAACATATTTTTCTAAATATGACTGCAATTTTATTGTTATATTTGATAAGCTTTGTTGTTCCGAAAATAGAGTCGACTCTTTGTTCCAATATCAGTCTGAATTCTTGCAGAATCATTGTTCATGTTTATTTTAGTAATATCTTACAATGTTATCAACCCTTTTATGAATTGCCAAAAATAATAATTGAAATATTTTTACTTACCAAACCTTTAATCATGTTTATTATCATATGTACACCTGTATTTCACAGCACTAAGGTATGACCTTTCGTATTTCGAATAAATAGGAGCACCTTCTCGTTATTCAATATTCACAATGAATGAAATAGATCTTTTTACAAAATTTGCGCAGACTTCTTGCTTGACATGACATTGACAATTGACAGGATACAGCTGACAAAAACATTTGGCTGCGTTTGGCTGCTAACAGGTTGTCATGATAGATGGCGCTTTTAAGACTTTAATTATTTTAAGATTTAAGGTAGAAAAATAAAGTTAAAAATTGTGAATGTTGAAGTATAGATTTTTTGCATCCAGGATACATATATGTGCGTTTTTATCTATAGCACACACAATATACACAATAGAAGAAGATTTAGTCATATATACAGCAACAGCCTACCTAACATACCTATATTACCTATATAATACATATACAGTACTCATATATTCATCGGAGTGTGCCAAATCAAATCCGTTCAGCAGCTCTTTCGTAAGAGAGACTAATCATTCTTCTTATTAAATACTTACTCGTCGAATTAACTAAAATTCACGGGTTACTCACGTGTAAATGTTGAGAAAAGCTCTACTGCAGAAACTAAAGAGAAAAGCTCTAGAGGAAGAACCCCTCTGTGGCTCGAAACTAGTAGAGCTTTTCTCAACATTTACACGTGAGTAACCCGCGAAATTTAGTTAATTTAGTATGTCTCAGGATAGTTATTATAAAAACTTACTCATCGATTTTATAAAATCCTCAAAACCTATCTAAATGAACGCATTCGGGGGATTGTCATCCAATATTTAAAAAAAAACTTAACAAATAGGTTCTTAGCAGCCCAGCTTCGCACTGGTGCAATGCTGATAAGTAGGTAGGTACTTTATTTCTTCACTAGGTATTCCATGGATGTTAATAATAAGACATTCTCTTCAATTGCTATCTGATTAAAGCATAGGTAAGTACATAAGAATATAGGGACAGGGAAAGTGACTTTTTTATACTATGCGTGATTGATTTAAATGGATTACTTATTATTAGGTGTTTAAATTTAAAAGTTGTCAATTAAATAAAACTAAGTACTGAAAATACGCAAATTATTATTATGACATCGTACTAAAATATTTACAATGAACGAAATAAAAATTAATTACAACAATTTAATGGGCTCATAAATTACTATACTTATTTATAAAATAAATACTTAAATCGTAATACTTTTTAACAGTTCGGGTTTAAAATATCATACATATTTTGGCTGCATTATAATTATACAATTAGGTATCTACTATAAAAGTGTAAAAACAATGTCTCTTGCAACAGAGGCGGCGAAAGGCGCCTTCGGTATCGCGGTACAGGTGGCCTCACACCTCAAGAATTTTTATTTTTCGTCTTCAGGTCGCCACAGAAGACGGCTCGCAAAATCTGTCTTGCCCACATTAAAATAAGGTCTTGTCCTGCCTGTCCTGTCCTGTCCCGCCACTGACTTGCAAGTTACAGAAGTGTGATTACTTATCCATCCTCCGCTCTAGGTGGGCGACAGGGAGTGGAGGGATTATACTCGGTTCGAAATGCAGGACAACGACCATCAAAGTTGTTATGAGGTAAACATTCACTTCCGCACTCCTAGTCTTTCAGCCTAAAAACTACTCAACTCTTGAATTTGAACGCTTTTTCATAATTATCTAAAGAGGTAGGTAATACCAAAATCTGTGGTAACTGAACTACTTTTTTAAATTTATTGGAACAATAGAATTCATGTTTCGATGTCTGTCAATTATGTAGGTACGGTAAGAAAAAGATAGTGATTAGTGCCAATGCCAATACTTTGGTACCTCTATGAAACTAGAATAGTACACTGTATCTACACACATACATGTATCGAGACAATAAGGCACAGAAAACAAATAGGTAAATTAAATCAGGGACTTATAGAATAGAGGGAATACAAATGTGACCTCATCCAAAAAGTTTTTAGGTATATCTTATTTCTAAATCGGCAAGGAACTTAATTCACATAGTTACTATAAAGTGGACGAATTTGTCTTTTGGTCTGTAGAATTTCGCTCTCCCTTACAGGTTCGAGGTTCTTAATTGTTATATTACCTAATCATTACTCTTTTGCGAGTACCTAGATGTCTGGTACGTATATCTAATAACCTACAACTTATTTCTAGTTTCATATGAAAATCACTAAATCTAAAAACTAGCTTATTAACTAAAGTAAAAACTTAATAGCTAAACTTATCTGTTATTGAACCCATAAATTTGTGATTACATAATAATATAGTAAAACAAACAGAGACTTTACTTGTGCACATATTAAATGAAACACACATTTACCAGTTACATTATCTATGAGTTACAAAAATCTAGAGTAGAAAGTGTCCCTATTGTATCAAAATGTATTTGAAAAACAGCATCAACTAAATTAAATATACCTAAGCGGGTAAATACGTATACTTAAACACGAATACTATACAAATAAACATTTTAACAACCATGAGTACGAATATTATCACATAACATGTACTGTACCTACTACAAAATTTGTTTTTTCTTTTTACAAAACTCACTACCATTCACTGACTCTACGTGATACTATTGAGCGTGTAATCTTCAGCATTTTGTTGAGCGACATCGCTGTCTTCCAATCGTTGTTAAAATATCAGACAAGATTATCTCACCATGCACTTCAAACACCATTTTCATCACATAATGAACGCACACTTAAATCCACAAGCACATTCGTCATATAAGTATTCATAACCGAGCATTGTTTTTAAATTGACTAACGTGTTTATTGTTCTGAATTTCTAAAAAGATATTGTATTGAGTCTTCGTGGAGAGCGATCATTAACATTATAATGCCACCCGAAAGTATTCCTAATATGGCCAGTAGTAAGTTAATGCTTTTACCATGATTGTTAGCATTAATCTCTGGCACTAAATCTGCAAGAGCAATATAGAAGAAAGTTCCAGCCGTGGCCGCATAGATCCACTGGGAAGCAGACTCATGATCTTCCGCAAGCCATATTCCACCAGCCATGCCCATAAAACTAAGCACAGATGATAATAGATTATAATAAAGGGCTCGTCTGATACTCATTCCAGAGCGTAATAGTACTGCGAAATCGCCTAGCTCATGAGGGAGCTCGTGACAAAATACGGCCAATGCCGTTGCGAAACCAGTTACCGGATCTCCACTAAAGGCCGCTCCAATTGCTAGCCCATCTGTTAAATTGTGTAGTCCGTCTCCTACAATCACCATAAGCGCAGTCGACGTCATCGGCCGGTCGACGGGCGGAGGTGGCGAGCCCGGCATCATTGCACCAAGTTCTATTGGTTCTATTTGTTTGCCGGAATCTGGTTTGATTTCTGCAACATCTTTACCAGAATCATGGGAGTGAGCGTCACCACCATTAATTGTTTGCATAATTGCTTCGACGCTGTAGAACAATAAAATCGTAAGGAAGGTGACGCTGCATTTTAATACAGTTTCGGTTTCTTCTTGTGGTGCTGAAGGAGGCCCATGTGATTTGAGCGCGTGTGGCAGCAGATGTAGAAGCGCATCGCCACACAAAGTGCCGACTGCTATAGCTACCAAGAAGTGTAGTACGTGGCTGAATATCGCTGACTTCAACAAAGGAACAATAGCAACTCCGAGCAATCCAGTGGCACTGATGACTAATATGCTCAAAGTGGCATAAATCCAAGCTGGAAGAGAAAATACAGTCACTATTAGAGATCTTTCAATATTAAAATTTAATCGATTGGTTATTAAAATCTAATTTGAAATCAAAATTAATTTGGTACCTAAGTGTTGGTATTGGTATCTAAGCAGACACAGCAAGTTAATATGAATTCCGACAGCGCAGCGCAAACACAAGTACAACAATAACATTAATTTTTAATTACTCACTCCAAAACCTGTCCAGCTTCGGTGCAGGTGCTTCTGTTTTGTAACAAGACCGTTGGTCTAATTGGTACACTAGAGCAGGGCACATCTCCAAGAACGTTTTGGGCTTGATAGTTATGACTCCCGGGGCCTCGTTCTCCATTCCATAAACCTCCAAAATTTCCCTTGGAGACAGGCATGATTTTTGCAGTATGGGTTCTGTTGCAACTAAAAAATAAAAAACAATAAAGTTAAGGAGATATCTAAAACTTATAAATTAATGTCGGATGAGCAAAATATTAACAGATAGGGATTATTTTAATAGGTAAATTTTCTACAATTACTGTTATCAGTTCCCATAATATTTGCATACTATACAAAAAAGAAATACGTAGTCACGAGTCACTCTGAATAAACGTGTAACCCAATGACAATATCCAACAATACGTTCCATTCATGGATTTATGTGACAGATCCTTGGTCGGGGTCAGACTACTACGCAAGAGCACTCGTCCACTCGGTAATAGGATAATCGCGATTATAAAGGACAATTCTCGTCCATTGGCGTCATGTTTTCGCAGAGAGTCATGAAATAATGCGTGCAATAAAGGCCATTTTGCTCAACAAGGACTGACAGGACTAAAAATGGATTGGGCAAACTTTTGGTGACAAAGAAGTATAGACCTTATGGGATTTGATGTGGACAAAAGAGGTTAGGTTATATTGGAACCTAAAATAAAAAAAAAAATAAACACTTAATGAGGTTGTTTACGATAAATAAAGTGCAAAAGTTAACTTCCTACATGCAAGGGTTACGGCCGGCATCAGTAACACTGTCGCTGTCGCAATAAATGAGAAAGCAGGGGACTCTGCGGAACTATCTGCTTCGCTTTCTACCAAACACTGGCATCTATACAAGTCATACCGGATTTCAAAACTGTTTTGTTGTTCTCATCTATCATTATTCATTATCGAAAATATGTATGTTGTGTTTATTAATGTAATTACACTATTGAGTACACAATATTCTCATAACGATAGCCATGTGGTGACAGTAAGGTAGAATACATAATATTACCTTCTTACTATGGTCTATGGTTTATGTAATTAACTAAATGTAAACAATCTTGGCTTGTCTTTAAATCTAAAAGTTCGAAATAGAAACGTTTGCAATCAAGTATTTACTTAAATCGAAATTAACCTATAAACTACATTTAAATAATCTTTGAAATCTCCAATCCGCTTGTCACGGTGGACAATCATATGGTAAACTCTACTTTTGCAAACAATACAGACCTATTAGTCCTCTAGTGGACAATGGTTGTTGATGATAAGGATAACCTTACCTTAAAAGGATTTAAATTATAAAAATAATACATATCTATACAGATTGGACATACAAAACCTCAAACTCACAGCTCACAATCATATTTGTTGGTTACATTTTAAATCGTGACTGTTATTGAACGGGAAATGATATTTTTTGCGCTTTATGAATTTTTGTGTGCAAAATTGCCGTTTAACTGGAATCAAATTCTTTTATATAGTATAGAATTGGAACGTCATGACAGATGCGTTAGTACTCGTATCTATAACAGAATTTCTGTATTATTTGTTATGGAGACATTCGTTCGAAATACCCCGTGTCCGTGTATATATCAATATTTAATATTATAAACAGGTAAAATTTGTAAGTTTGTATGTAGGGGTTATGGTTATGGGATCTTTGGAACCGCTGGTCGGATTGCCAAAATTCTTTCACTGACAGATAGCTACAATGTTCCTGAGTGCCGTAGGCTATAAAACATCACGTTGCTATCAAATGGAGCTGAGCAGTAGGTGAAACCGCGCGAGAGTAGCTAGTCAATACAAATATGATAAACAGGTAAAATTTGTAAGTAAGTAAGTTTGTATGTAGGGAGTCTTGTCTGGTCAGATTGCCAAAATTATTTCACTGATAGATAGCTACAATGTTCCTGAGTGCTATAAAATATATTACTTTACGATTAAATGGAACCGAGCAGCGGGTGAAACCGCGTGAGTGTAGCTAGTTATTAATAAAGCCTACGATTTCCTGCTTAAAGTTTTTTCTAAGTGCATTTTAAGTGTTTAGATACCTATCAAAGTTTTACTCACGATAATTGGAAAATAGACAATTCAAATTCAAGGATGAATTAAAATAAGCTACAATAATACAATGAACATGATTAGAGCACGTTTCCTCCTTTCCTTATGGTGTTTACATTCTTAACTTTCAAGGTTTATTTAATTAATCACGTTTTAATTGGTTGACTGAACTCGCAATTTCTTTGTGACTAAGTATTATTGTAACTACATTGATATGAATGAAGTCAATAAAAAATGTTATCGTCTTCTAAAAGCCAATTTAATTTGATACCGATCTTAGGTAATCTCTGAATAGAGTCCGATTCAATCATCATGTGATACCACAGCCTCACAGAAAATGGAGTGAAACAACGATAGCGTTGTTTCTACTTCCTTCCATTCTTACTATCCAAAAATCTCAAAATTCAAATCCCCAATAGGTCGGCAACGCACTCGTAACTTCTCCGTTGTGTGGCCATGGGTGGCGCTAGTAGCTTACCTACCTTGATAAAGAAAAAAACAGCTAATCTCGGAAACTCTAAACAGTAGATGACTTGATTGACAAAATAATGATCAAGATAAAAGTTAAATAATTATCGGTTTCCGTTCCCACGAAACGTGTGCGCAATCTTCCTCAAGATTATTTTGAGAAAAACAAAGTTAAGTGTATTATTGTTGCTAAAATCATGTCACATGTGTATTATCGGACGTATAAACTTTCTGAGGAAACTATATCTACCTTATTAATGTAACATTGTTATGGCGTATTTGCCATTATTTTCTGCTTAAGCAAGAATTATTCCATGAGACTAAGACCATTATCTTATCTACTTTACTTAATACTTTATACTCACAAATAAATGCCAGCATTGTTATACATAATAATATGTCATTTATCTATTTATCATGAATCGAATATACTAGTAAACAACTGTGTAATACCTAAAATTAATCATCTGACCTTAAGCGACACTAGCGCCCCTCAGCTCTTAATTCGAAAATTTTCATTTAACGATATTAAAACGTACCTACGACTCCCAAATATTATACCCGGGTCTTGTCAAAAACTTACATTTAATATGTTATAAAACTGAAGAGAAATTAAATCCCGAAATTAGCGCATTCAAGCAAAGAAAAAATCTTTGCTTGAATGCGCTAATTTCGGGAACTACTTGTTCAAATTGAATTATTCTCTAGCGTTGAATCTGACCGGGCGTAGCTAGTGTAAATGGCTGTGAAAAATCCTATGGATTACATACCGGCCGGAGGTGATCTGCGGTGCCTGTGCTGTGTGTCATGTAGTTGTCGGAAGGTCCCGTTGATGCGATGGATAGCCAGGTCGTGAGGTGATGTAAACACACGTCCTCCGAGGCCTAAGCTATCTAGTAGATGCTCAAATCCCTGTAAACATTAGAAAAATACATCTCAATCATAGATTTTATACTCAAGCAGCTATTTTAAGGCTGTATATTAAAGGTCCCGGTTTCATCGGTTCGATTGTTTTTGTCAATCACTTAAGGCTGCTAAATTTGGTTATGGTAGATTAACAGCGGCAGCGTTAGTAAAAAGATTTTAAATAATTTATTTTATTAAGCACCAATAAATTCCAGCCAGAATGTTGTCTGACTAATCCCACATTTCTGATGTGTATAATTCTGCCCCCGTTAGTAAAAAAGACGCATCTAACATTTTTTCCAGATTTGAGTTAAATACATTGCCGGGATCAGAAAAAAAGGCGCATCTGCCTGTATTTTTAATATTTTGCTAACTTTCTCCAGTGCGGTTTTAACACAACGAAATAAGACGCTTCTGTATTTTTTTTTAAATCTGATTGAAGATGAAAAGACGAATTTATCGGAAACTTAGTTGAAAAGTCGCATTTAAGTAGATAATGTCCATTTAGTCTAAAGTTTTTTTCTTAGTTCGGTAATGTAAAAGGCACATATTTGTCCCTATTTCTAAGAGGAAGTTAATAAGACGCAAATACGCGTTTACGTCTAACATGCTATGTAAAAATTGAGTTCATAATAAGAAAAAAAGACCACATCTAACAACTTGCGCCCTATTTATTTCGTAAAATTGATTTCGCATAGACGTATTTGCCATAAGCGCCTTAACAACTTACGTTAAAAAAAAATTAAACAACGGTTAGTTAATAAAAAAGACGCAAACGTGCATATACGTCCTTTTTTTAAAAAAAATGTGTATAAAGCGGAGCTTGCGCGGGGTGTTGGGGGGTATGTTTTGTACGGCGCCTGACTAGTTTCTTTGCCAGTTGCGCCCGAGTAAGCTGTTGAAGAGATGTGTCGCGGTTGCGCAAGTTTTCGCTGCGTAATTCGTGGTATAAAGTAAGTAGGTATATTTATTATTTTCTGTTTTGGTATAAAAAATAATATCAGTCTTACTAACTGTAAACACCATTATTATGTACTTAGTGTAGTAAAAATATAATAAATTAAAATACTACTAATAAACATAATGTTACTTCATCCATTGACATTTTTATTAGGTACTTACGAGTACGTAAATCATTTCTTAAACTTTTATTTAGTTCTATTAAATTGTGTGTATTTTGTAACTTTCTTAGTTTGAATTGCATTTAATGATTGCTTGTAAATACTTAACGAGCTTTATAACTGTTTTGGTACATTCTAACATAATTATCTGTTGTTACAGATAAAACTAACATGAAAAGAGGTCGATGCTTTGAGTTAGTTAATAGGTAAAGCTTTAGCTTCCACTAGTACGGAAAGTACAAATAGTACTGGAGTAGAAACTACAGAGCGTATGACAGTCTTTGCAATCGTAGTTCAATTTTAATCTGTTTAGTTGATATAAGTGATTACAATCTGTTTAGTTGATAGTGTATGCCACTGATTCATTAATGTACTCAGAAATCGACTTGCGCAAGACGACATGTATTCTCCATCCTTGGGACTTTCATTGAAAAGCCTGCATAATGTCGCAGCTAGAGTTTTGACATAATCAAATCGAGCTAAAAATTCCTTGAGTGCCTTGCTCATTGTGATTATCAAATCGCTGCTGGAAATAGGTTTCTCTTGTAAACATATGTCCACAGTTTCGCATCAGGCGCAAGCATCGTGCTCTGGAGTATCAGGATTAAACTCAGGTGACGTTATTTTCGTGCTGGCTGCACGTGGTTCCCGTATAGTACGAATGAATTATATCATACTATGTTGCTGCATTTTAAAAAGACGAAGTTTCCATATTTTAATCTCCTTATCTTGTGAAATATTAACGTGCTGACCTGTATTCTGTTCCTGAGTCGTTACAGGTGAGTCGTTACGTACTTCTGATGTGAGAGCGTCAGAAGGAGCCTCGTGGTGGTCATGGTTGTCACTTTCTACCTTGGGCGTTGTAACGACCGGAATTAAAAATAAAGGCACGCTTGTATTATTTGGTTTCCTCGCTATTTTATTCACAATCACACAATCAATAAGATTTTTTTTTGTGAGGGGATAATCATCAAATGACTTCTCCCGCCCAGGGTCGGGCGGGAGGGAGTGTCAGACTCTTACTGACTAAAAACCCTCCTGTTCCTTCTCCTTCTCTGTGCCGAGGTCGCGGTTCCTCATTGCGCTTACCCCGCAACCCCGGCTGAACATCAGCCATTTAGGGGTCCCGTCTGTGGTGGTCTATTGGCTCTTTGAGGCGCGCGCGGAACGCTACGCGCCGTACGCTCGGGCCTGGTTCTGGTCGGGCGGCGAGCTGCCCTTACTCGCCAACCGCAGACCCGTGCTTACGGTGGCCGGAGATCGTCCCTTGATCCCCGACGCCCGTAGTTACTTTACTTACTTGCTATAAATAAACTAGTGCTTGACTGCGATCCTACCTGATGGTAAGCAGTGATGCAATCGTTGATGGTAAGGTGCACTAGTTTATTAAGAGCATATTCACTCTAGCCTTGAAGACACCTAAATTATATTTGGACGGAAAGACTGCAGCCGGCAAACTGTTCCAATCCCTCGATGTACGCGGTATAAATGACGAGGCAAAGCGCTTAGTCCGGGCCAGTAGTGTCGCCAGTTGCGGCTGCTGGGGCGTGAGGAGGAGGATTGTGCCTCACGAAGGCCGACTCTCTCTTTGCGAGCTTGACTGCTTCAGAAAAGGAGGAGACGGCGTCCCATTTCCTCTCACTCCGCACCATGGCCTCGCGAAGGCCGGGCGCGAGAGGTCGCCGCCGCCGATCACTTCCCTGCTCAGCCCAGGCAGGGCATACCGTTACCGTATGCTCCACCGTATCCTCTAGGTGATCCTTACAATGACGACACTCGGGCGTTTCCTCCCGCTGGATTCGAAACAGGAACCTACCGAAGCTGCCGTGCCCGGTAAGCACCTGCGTCAGGCGGAAGGTGAGGACGCCGTGGCGTCTCTCAAGCTACTCCTCAAAGAGGGGTCTTACCGCTGCTATAGTAGCGTGCCCGACAATCAATAAGATGGAATGAGAATTTGAGCCAATAGGTTAGCGTGTACACTTCGGCTGGCAGCTGTCAGCAAGATGCCCGCTGCCATTCCTCGTACTGACACTTACTACCCTATTCGGGGTTACCCGCTCATAATAATGTTACCAATAAATTAAAAATTGAGTTATGATTAACAATCAATTGTAAAGACAATACAATTATCTTTGTTATTAAAAATAATCCATAATCAGTCGCCAGCGCCGTCATATATAATTTTAAGTTTTCGAGCCAGTTAAAAAAAACAATATCAAAAGAAACAAAAACATCACTCTTCATAAATGAAGAGTGATGTTTAATTATAATAATGTTGTTGGCAAAAAACTTTTTATAGTAGTGTGATAAATAAAGATATAAGAGATTTATAATGGATCTGTACCTGTTTAAGACTGATAAAGCTTAACACCGTGACATTGCTCAAGTGTAATTCTTATAGTTCTAATTTAAATTATAATTGAATATGCCAAGGTTAGCATTTTGTGTTTTGTTATTAGTCAAAAGCATTTTAAATAAATATTTCATTGTATCCATTGCGTTTTACTTAATAATAAAGCATTAATAAACTCGTAGTCATCATAATAAACTATTATTATGATAACTACGAGTTTATTAACATTTAAACCATAAATAAAAGAATTATTAAATTATTATTTAAACATTTTATCTTAGTCAAGGGACATCTATGAAGTTATTTATTCTTAAGAAAAAAGGCGGAAATGACCATATGCGCCCATTTTTGTTAAAAATTTAGACTAGATAAATAATATAAATACTTAGAAGAAATAAACAGGCAAAGGCGTTTGAAAATTAAAGGACGCATCTAGCCATTTACGTCTATTCAATAAAGTTTGTGATATTTTTCCTAATTTTTTATGCTAAGATGAAAAGGTTTTTCTAATATTTTTATTATAATAATTTAATAAATTCATATTATTATTAAACCATGTTAAAGGTCTTTTTAATGGGCTTTATTTTCAACTTTTAATATCTAAATATTTTAATTCACACGAACACAGCAAACAATTTCTTGTTTCATTCATTAAAACATTTTTTTCTCCGTTTTTACTTTTTGTTAGATACGTCTTTTCAACTATCAGGGGCAGAATTATGTAAGTACTTTGTACCTATATTAGACAGACTGTCTGTAAGGAATGAAAGTATGACAAATATTGTGCGTTTCTTTTCCGTTTAGTAGTTATATGCGAGCCGGTGTCACAAACACCTAAACAAACAATCGCATAGGTTGTATTGTAGTATTAACTTCTAGGGTCATTAACCAAATCGCTTTATGTTTGGCCTGCTTTTGTTCTGAAATACTTATTTAAATCTAGACATATCTTTAGATAGCAGATTTACAAATGGGGTCTGTATCGATGAAAGTTTGCGGTCGAGGGACAATTTAACTTTTTGGTGGTTAAAGAAGTTATTGACTTGTTTGGATGTTTTCTCCGTGCATCTGATTGACTAGTTCCGGGTATCTGCAGCAACTATCTATGTCCAAGTAGATGTTTGTATAACAAGTAACAACCGGTACCGGATTCGGTTGAAAGCTAATGTTTAATAAAACTTTTCCGTTCGTTATCTACCGCATTTTACCTACTTAACTTGTTCAGATTACGTATCTATAGGAATTAATATTGTATTAGCTATTTTTGAAATTCAAAATGGTGTCTCTTCGTGATTCCTAATCAGTTGATTAAATTTTAACGGCTTTTCCGTGTTAAAGTATTAGGAACTTTTTGGAGCCTCTTGGATATTTGATAAAGGACAGCTACGATGACTCACTTAACTTATGAACCGATGTAAAATGTTTAAATCCTAAACATGGTTAAGTATAGCATAAATCCCGGTAATGTCTAAAAGTTAATCTGGTGGACAGATTAGATGAAGTTGAATCATTTTAAGATGACAAAATGAGATTTTTTACTACTATCTTTAGAATAACCTATCACTAATACCTAAGTCTAAAAAGAGTGACCAAAAAAGAGAACGTTAAAAACAGTTTTACAATTTCACAATCTATTCACGTTAATAGTACTTTAAGGTTTGTTAAATAGTCACCACATCTCGCTTCAGGTGTTCCTAGCGCAAAAGGCAAGCATATTAAAAAGAAAAATAAACAGCACTGAATTGTTCTCGGTAACAAACTAAGAAAGGTGAATATTTTGCATGTTGTTCCAAGGAACACCAGTCACGTAAGTGTTTCAAAATGTCTGTGTGTTATACTTAAATCGTTACGTCATAAACGGAGTCAAGTTGAAGGACAGCCTGGCCAAACAAATGCCAATTCACTATCAATAATGACTGCAACATCATTTATCGTTTGAGGTAGTGGGTATCAGTCATTATTCGCAATACACCATATTTCGACAGCTACTGATTAAGAGATTATGTTGTAAAGATAAATTAGAACGTTTTGTTCGATAATTTGTTTTCGTAGATTTAGTTTTTTAATCAGAATTTAAAAAAAGAAACTGCGTTTGAGATTTTTCTGTTGTAAACAATTATTATGATTAAGTTAGGTACTTTTGCATCATTTTGTTATTAATATGTATTTATAGAAAGTGTTTGCAATCAATAGTCCTTAAAATATCGAGATCAGCTTTAGTAAAAATAAACCGCGTTAAATGGTTTTTCCAGCCGTAAATAACGATGATTAAAAATACAAACTATTTTTTTTTCTAACAGCATTGTTAAAATCTAGACATTTGTTCATCTCTCTTGAGTTTGTGTTTTAATTCTGGTCTCTACTGTAGATCCAGACTTACAGGAGTGATTAGCAATGGTCTGGTTAGAACTGTCTCTTTCTTCTTTCCTCACGCGGAAAAGGTTTGAGCATTAATCACCACGCTTGCTTAAACTTATAATTAGAAAATATAAGACCTTCGTCGATCGATTTCTCACGATGTTTTCTTTCACCGTATTGTTTTACTTGCCGAAGTATATAACCAAATCATTTTTAATTTCTAAAGTAATCCTAAAACCGTTTGGGATATATGATGCAAATCGTATCGTATGAACGAATTCCAATGACCTTCCGCGGTTTTCACGGTACGTTGGTTTCGGATTTAGTCTTAAGATTCAATCACGTTTTCTGCAACTATAAATACATCATACCTATGTATGTAATCCAATTGCGCAGAGTTTCCTTAATTTAGCAGAGAATTAATTTTCAATACTTATTTTTTTTGTTCACAATTAAACCATTTGAAATAATGAGCTCCAAAAACATAACACACAATTCTTATATGGATATCAAAACAATAAATGTTGTAAGGCTACGTTCAAGACCAAGGTTATGATATAATCTGTCAATATAGATCTTGTTTTAGTTACCTACTTAATATACATATTAGTCCTCTTTAGACTTGATCTGATGGATAATTCCAAAGTGCAGACAATAACTTGCACAATACTAATACAATTTTTAATATCGTTATCACGAACTTAGAGTAGATTGTGTTTCGAATTTTAAACTGCTGCAACAGTTTGTTACTTGTTAGTATTGTTACGAAAATTAAAAAGTAACAATTTTGATGACATAGATAAATCAATAAATAAACCACTCTAAGATAACTTCTACATATTTTTGTAATTATGAATTTTAGGCTTTCTGCAATGACGTCGATCACTTTGGAAAAATAAAAATATGGTTTTAATACAATCTGTGTTTCAACAATTGACATGTGTCTAGGTACTATTAACATAACGGTAAACATTTCAAATAAAAATAACACACTGTATTTCCTGCCTCTGTAGATAGATAACGATTACTGTGTACCTGTCGTCTAGTCATGGATTAGGTACAATTAGATAAAACTTTACTATATGTTTTTTAAACAATATTTAGGTACAGGTGCCTTGGTCAGTTTTACACTAATCTTTCAAAAGTTAATTTAAAGTTACTAATTAGTTACCTACATCGTTTATCTAATAGATTTTTCTAAAGACTGGTATTAACTAACTTGGTATTGTTATTCTGTATATATAAGTTTTTATGTATTTTAGCCATCCTAGTCAAATGCTTAATATGCGCTTTAATTTAATTTTGCATTCCGCATATACAACCGAATGAAAATTTAAAAATATTCCATACTTATATATTTCAACCTAAAAAATCATTATTTGCGGGACCTCTAAAACGCATTTAGGTACATTTAAAAAATATCACGTATACCACGGAGACATGTCCAATGAAAGTAATTAGTTAATTATGTCTGAATAATTACTTATTTACATTAATAACTAAAACTTATAATAAAACTTATGGTACACTGAAGAATTACCAGGAGTTCCTCAAGGAGCAGCCCTTGGACCACTTTATTTAAATGATTGCGAAAAACAAGAAAAAAGCCTTGTATTGTATCATAAGTGATAAACAACTATTAAAGAAGATGTAATTTGTTTCTTCCGGGACGACATTATGATATTAGCCTTGTTATTACAGGTGTGTAATCCTATATCGCGGTTATTTTGCCTATTATCCGCTCAAAACACAATTGATTATGCATATCTTCATTTTGAAATTTTTGCATACTATGATAAAAAAAGAACTGCATATGCTTCAAACCTTTGCAATCATAAAGTAAATAGGTGTCTATAGTAATTATAAAAGACAATGTCTATGTGTCAATAATTATAACAATTAAGCACTGTTTGATTTCCGTGTTGCTTGTTTGAGATACTTTGATTAAAGGATTATTTTACGTATACATTGGTATCTGCAATATGCACAAAATGATGTTTGTTATTTACAATTCATTAGGTTTACGCGTAGGTATTGTAGTATATTTCTTGGTCTTGGTATGTAGTGTATGTCTTGAGCAAACATTCATTTGGACAAAGACAAGTTGGAAATGTGCTCTTCAGATGAATTTTGCATAAAAGTTACATCATGAAAATAATATTTATCTACTTTTACATTATGGTCGTAATATTCACAGTAATATTACATATTTTCAAGCAGCGCCTTAAAGCGCCAGCGGTTAATAGCCAAACATCAAAAAGGCTTCCTGATTTCATAAAAACTTTTAGCTATAACAATTCCGAACAACAACGCAAGAATTCGTGAATCGGTGCTATCACTCCTGTGCAATGTGATGACTAGGGGACTTTACTATAGGAAGGGTGGATGGATAGGATGATGATGTATGAATTCGGAAACAGAAACATAAAAAAATTGACTACCTACATTTCGTGTACATAGACAGTTATTCAATTTAAACTACAATCTGGTTTAAGGAGTCTTTTAAAGCGTCGGGTAGAATTTGTCCAATGATTATCTTTTCAGTAAAATAACGATACAGTGGCCATAGTTCAGAACATAGTTTCTCGTCTTTTTAAGGTTTGACGCTAATTTAGATATAAATATCAGGTATGTTATTTTGTATGTGTTTTCTACGTAATCTGCGAATAAATCATTCTCAAATCGTACTAGAAATTAATTTACTCGTAGGTACGCACTCAAATCCTACATCATGTAACCATAGTTAGACGTCAAGCGTTCCAAGATGTCCAAATAATACTAACTTGGTAGGATGCATTTTACACATTCGCAATATGTTGGAATTTAATCACCATTAAAATACATATACCGTTTTCTGATTACACAATTCATGTAATTTGAAAACAAAATACAGAAAACAGTTACACCATAAAGTATCGGGTATTATATAATTAATCATTATTAGTTCTGAAGATGTAATATGGACACGTGCAGTAGGTAGGTATCCTGCCCACTGAATGATCACAGGACAGTGGCACACGTGTTTAAAATGTAAAATAAAATCCAGATCTATCAAAGAATATTGGCATTCTATTTTGGTAGGGCAATATTTGCATTTCTCCATCTTCTATCAAATTTAACTAAGTTTAACAATCCCCTAAAAACATATTTGATAACATTCTTCAAACAACTTATACTGCTACTGTTTACTTCAAAATAATCACGATAACATTTGTTCCACATTCAAAGCACTTGTCTGGTCCCAGCAGACAATCTGCTATTTCCTTTTCCGCAATTATAATCCCAGTTCTAGAGACTGAATGGCTTAATACCAAGACAAGAATTCAAGAGAGAGCTATTCAAGCATTTATTGGTCACTATTTGTTGAAAAAGTATGTACGGAATTGGCGTTAAAATGTTGTTTGGAATTTAAGACTTACGTTTACTACATAGTACGCACTATACCAACTAGTTAGGCATTCAATGAAAGAACAATAAGATGATTAATGTTTGTCGAACATAGGACATGAGGCGTTGAAAAATACACACAAATATTTCTGAAGAAACACTTTGCTTGTGAAATTTACTTTAAATTAACAGTTATCAATAAATGATGGATTTAACTAAATATTGATAAACGATAAGGAATCTGTCGTAATACTTATAGTACAAATATAAAGGTAGTGAAGTTACATTTAAGTTCGATGAACTTCCGTTTATGAAATAGGGAAAGGTGTTTTAATGATAACGTGTGGAAATTATTCAATTTTACATGTTACAGTGCCACTGATTAAATAAACCTGCCATTCACGAAACGTGAACCTAGCAACTTAAAATTAGAAAAAAAAAAACATTTTAGGCTGATTTGTAAAATGTAATGGGTATGCATAGGTAACAACTATCTACCGACCTTTGAAAGCAGCTGATTATTTTGGTGCAAAATTTTACAGACACGTAAATATACGATACCGGTTAACTTCGTTCGATTTACGTATGTTTTACTTACTAAGCAAAATATACACGAGAGATACATAGTTTATTTTAAGTAAAAGAATTGCACTCACCTCAAACGTAATGACTCCTTTATCACCATATTTATCGAATATTTTGTCAATGAAGTATTGCTCAGCAGGAAGAGTGCTGTTGAGCTGATTATCCTCAGCAACTCCAACTGGGGCGAGGGTTGCTGTGTTGGGGTCCAGGTCTCCGATGGAGCCAGCGCTGCAGAGCGCCAGCGCCAGGACTACGACGACGCTCGTTGTCAACATGTTCACGAGTAATGTCCGCGCTCACGGCTCGCACGGTGCGCCGGCGGCGGTCCCGCGCCTCCACACCACACTATCAGCCGATCAGCTTCAACAGCGCTCCGTTGAACGTGATAATGTGACGCGTCGCGTGGCGCTCGCGCATCGGCCGACCACTCTTTTGTTTATTTGTTTGGAATTTATGTCAATAATAAAATCGCGAATTGTATTATACGCAGACGCAGTTGTAGGAGCGTGTTTGTCACTTGAAGTGAGGTGTGCGTCTGCGACTCTGCGCTGAGACTTTCACCCGTCGCTCTCTGGAGCCTCCGAGGCCGGTTGAACACCGTTACTGATAATAAGGTGTATTTACAAAGTGACCGCCATTAATACAACCTCATTAGATGCCAATTTAATTGCAACGGGTGGGGTAATAGGTGGTGCTCAGAGTCAGTCAAGTCTCTCAACCGTCAAACGTGAACTTTGAACACTGGTAGTATGGGGATCACCGTGATAATGTTGAAAAATATATTTGATATACGAATTTATACATGAATTTATTTACCAATCGTATCAAATACGATATAATTTTGACTAGTAAGCAGTTATCTATTATCGTGCGAGTCAACAAATGAGCGTAAATAACGTAGCGTTCATTCATAAATACGATGCATATCGAAAATTCTGCTTCGTATTATAGAAATTACTTGGTTTTATTGTTTAGCGACGGTGTTCAATGACTCATAAATATAATAAATAAACAATAAACACGTTGATGTTGTTCCACTTCCTCCTTACGTTGCGAGCGAAACGTCTTTTGTTTTTGCAGACAGATTTTTGGTCTTGCGGCAAGAGCTTGTCAGTCGGAGCACGTCCGCTGGTTACATATATTATGACGATTACTATTCACATATACGCACGTGGGTTCCTAGGTTCCTACAAAGGTAGTGTGCCACAAAGAACTACTGCGCCAGGCTAATAACAATTATGTAAAGTTATTTAGATAAATAATGATTACGGGTATTTATTGCATAACTTTGTGGGTCAAGCGTTCAAAGAGTTTTTGCAGCTCTGTCACTGTACCGGCAAATAATGGCGTTGAATTGTTTCCGTAAACTAAGAGAAAGAGTTATAAGAAAATAAACAATAAGGTTATCACTTAGTACGAACCTTGACGTGTTTACACAGGTGGCAAAAGGTGATTAGAAAGTTTGCAACAGATCAGTGAACAAGATCATTTGCCATCTCTGATTGAGAACTGTATCGACGTACATATACTTAGAACAATAACAAATATAAATGTAGAGTGGAGAAATATATTATTTGATTTAGGGCTGATTTTTCAACAGTAAGATAAATGTTATCAGAGCAATAAAATTGTTGCTGTCACTGTCTTATACAAACATTCTGACGCGACAACATCATAATTATTCCGCAGATAACTTTTATCTAACCATTGAAAAATCAGCCCTTAAGATGCAAATATTTTGTTCATGGACAAATACTAACTGTTATCTAACAAATGAATTGCGAAATAAATAAACAACTCTTCTGCAGAAGAAAATAATATACAGTAGGTAGATACTTACTTAGCATTAGCTGAATTTACTGAAAAGTTCAAATTACCATGCACGAAATTTTAAATTAGGCATAAAGCTTGTTAGTTAAATATTTGATAATAGAATCACGTCAATTAATTAATTAAGCTTTGTTGAAAAAAAAACCGATTGTATAGTTTATGCAAGAATGTTTAATTGGAGAACGCGTAAGATTAGTGTGAAAATTGCATTGTTTTCAATTGTGTACATACCTGCTTCACACGTAAGCAACGAGGTAATCTGTTTCCATTCGAAACGACAAATGAAAATTTATTAATGTTTGATACCTTCTTAACTCACAGTGATATATTGCTTTTAAAATATGAGCGGGAAATGATTGGTGTTTTTTTTTTAATTTAAAAATCTTTCTCATGAAAATACTGTTTGTAAGAAGTTGTGTTCTCTGGTCCTACTAAAGCCTTCGATAGCAAACAATGCCAAATTTTCATTTATAGGGGTGTAATTACGACATATTTCGTTTGGGTGGTTTGGGTGTTTCTCAAGGCAGAACATTGGGTCCGATTTTCATTAGGATTAATTGCAATTTGCATTGCATAATTTTTTTCATTATAAGCCCATAAGTGCCCACTGCTGAGCAAAGGCCTCTTCTCACACGGAGAAGGTTTAGAGCATTAATCACTACGCTTGCTCAATGCGGGTTGGCGATTTCGAACTTATAATTAGAAATTATAAGTCCAGGTTTCCTCACGATGTTTATCTTCGCCGTATGTCAGTGGTGTCTAAATAATCATAGAAAGTACATATAACTCGGAAGTCACATTGGTACTTGCCAGGTTTCGAACCCACGCCCTCCTGCATGAGAAGCCTTCTGCAGAAGAAGGTTGAAATTATGAAATCAATATTGTGAAAAGTACGTTTTCCTAATTGTAATGATCGATTAGAAGTTAACATATGTAAGTACAAGGATTAAAAATTTATCATAATTGTCGGTGCGCCTTGGAGCAATGAAGTTGTATTTTTGGCAAAAGATTAGATTATTATTATTTGTAACTTTAAATTAATAAAGTGATTAGTAATACCTCGGTCATATTTGGAGGTAGTTTGATACAGACTACATAACCCAAGAAAGGTCCAGTAGAATTATTTACGAATACAAATATTTTTACCATCTCTGTGCCATTTTAACATTTTGATGAATGTATTCCTATTATGTAAGAATATAACCACCAGAGTATGTATCAATGGTTGTTCATCCTTTATTAAAGCCTTTGCATTGCACATTGCACATATTATTTTATTAATAATGCGCTATTTATTATCTGCGGTTTTGCCTGCGGGAATTAGTACGTGAATTATCCATCCTTCTCTTCGTTCTAATAATCAAAGTCGAATTTATAATATACCTAAGCCTTTTGTTTTTTTATTTACGTTAGATTTTTTTTGATGATATTTATTATAGGTAACCTGTAATCGGATTTTATTTTGATTACGGCAGATTTTGAGTTTCTATACTTTTCTTTTCTTTTTGCATTTTTTTGTGTTTTTATTATCATTTTGTTGTTTTATCAGTTTATTTATGTTTTTGAGTATCAGTGTGAGCGTTGTGTAGAATAGACAAAAGCATTTTCTTCTATGTTATTCTAAAAATCTTTTTCTAACCGTTGAATTGTTTTAGTTACCCATTCCAATCTAGATCATAAGAATTAGTTTCTAATAACGTAACGTATAGCGACATGGCCTTAATTTTATCATTGCTATCAATTATATGGAATTACAAAGATATTACAATGTATAATGAAGTCGTAAATGTACCCTCTACTGGTAAATAAGGCAATGTCAATGTTAACTATATATGGAGGTTGAATGTTGAGGTAATCTTGTTGTAGATATTATTGATGTTATATAATTAATTTATACTGGTGATGTATTAGGTATTACTTTATAATCTACGTTTTGTTGAAGTATGTTTTTTACGTAGTAGAACATGGTTCGGCATGAATGGGAACCATACTACAGTCTTACAGAAAAATGATGTGAAGAAATGCTTTCATTGGGTTTTTTCTTTATGAATAGAGTTATCGAATGCCCAGGCTTAAATGTCTCCATTCTTCCAAAGGCCCGTAACACACTTGGAACTACTGTAGTGATTAGTAGTTACTTAAACTTCCGGGAATTAAATCCCTTGCCCAGTATATGTGTAAGATTTTGCGACAGCTAATAATGAGGTCCAGATTGAACTAAGGTGACGAATTTGTACCTAGTCGCAAGAGTTCTGGATCTCAATTAGCTTTAGCTTAAAGCAGGTAGCAAAAATCAAAACTGGGTAAAGGCACATTTACTTAAGAGGTCGAGCCGTCACAAAGGGAAATTAAAATAATATGGAAAAAATAATAATAAATAAATGTTTATTTCCTTATTATATCGTAAATCACAATAAGGAGATACAATATAGTGACGTCAGAGACTTCTAGTCACTGACGCGTTGTGAGTAATTTAATTGGATTTTTATTACATTTTACTTTATTATTTCAATTTTATGTGTTCAGGTTAGACGTAAGATCATGCCGTACGGGAGAGCAGAGCAGAATATATTTTTGCTTCCACTAACTTCTCCGCACGTGTTCCGAAAATACCTTTGCAACTGCAATCCTAAAGCCGAAAAAGAAGAAGAAAGACACATAAGAAGAAGGACGCTCAGTATTAAGCGATGGACAGTCACGGGTTGTTGATGGTATTAAATGAAGATGTTATATAATCAAGATCACCATTATCATCACCAGCTTATAAGCGCCCACTGCTGAGCAAAGTTCTCTTCTCACACGGAGAACGTTATATCAAAGTACGTAACATAAATAAATTTTAAGAAAAAACCTTTTAATTAACAAGTTGTTATCAGGTGGGTAACAAGTCAAAGACCTAAACTCTTTAGAGTAATTTGTATGAATTAAAAGAAAACCCACAGCTTAACATTTATTGCCATGCTAACTAAATAACGTTTTTAGCAAAAACCAGGTCTATCGGTGTAACATATCTGCTTCAAAAATATAAAAAAATGTAGTAAAAATTAAAACATAATTTTAATAATATGCCTTCGAAAACTGGAGAAAAGAGCATTTCTACCGAGATTAAGCTTGATAGGTATATTGGTAGTTAGTCTAAGATTACATCATCAGCAACATTATAATTCCATCACGAAACCTGATCAATGGTACTATGATATGGCACAGTCATTAATTATTTTATACCTATATTGTTGCCAAGTTTCATGGTGATATAAAAATTACTGACTGCACGTTTGGCGCCATATAGGGCAACCGCTGCCGCGCAATGTTTCGCCGAGACCATTCCCGCACGGAACCCGCTCTTTGTTGTGATTTACAAATTGTTATTCTGGAAACTGTTTATCTGTAAACGTATACACTATACATACAAAATTGTAATGTAAGGTAAATTTTGAAAATAAAGAATTGTATTTATATTTCAATTAAATGTTACAGAATACAGATCTTTTCATCGTATCACCGTGTATCTATAGTTTTGAGGAGACTACAGATTTTTTTTGTGAGCGGCAAACGAACTATCCGGTTACCTCACGTTAAATAATCAGCGTCAATGAATGTGGGTATGGCCTTTTGTGGATTAGGGTTTCAGAGATTCAGGGATTGGAGGCGAGGGTTGGGCCACCAGAAACCTCACCCACATGGCGAAATACAACGCTGTGGTTGTTTCACGGCGA